TTTTTGTTTTTATTTAATTATTAATATATTATAATTGTTTTTTTTTTTGTTAAAAAATGTAAAATTACAATTTTATCCTTTTAAAATTAGTCAAAATAATGGTCAAGGTCAATTCTCTGGTCAACTAACAGTTTATGTTAAATTGGACTTTGAGTGCAAGTTTTTGAAATATTTGGTATTGTGGCTGCAATTTTCCCTAAAAAAATTGTATATTTTCACCACTTGTAGATGGGGTGTAGAAAGGTCCTCACCCTTCCCACTTCAAACTCCATAAAAGTAAGGGGGTGTTTGATAGATATTTTTATGTAAAAATGCGTTTTAGCATAGTAAATTGATGTGAAATGCGTGGTTGAGAAATAAGGAATTTTTGATTTATATGTAATATTATTTTAATAAAGAATATGTGGTTGAAAAGAAGAGAGGGAAAAATACATTTTGAAAAAATGGCTACCAAACGGGGCCTAAATGTCCATCTAGGGATGTTAATGAGCCCATTCGGTTCATGAGCAGAGCTGTTGCTCGGTTAAAATATCTAAGCTTGACTTGAGCTTTCAACTAGATCGAGTTTGGGCCGACGCTCCAAAATGGGGTTCGACCCTAGTCTCGACTCGAATCTACCGAGCTGTGAGCACGACCAGCATGGACTTTTCTCGGGTCGAGCCACTGCCACCCGAGTTGATAAGCTAAATTAACATCTCTACGTATTTGGGATAAAATTATAAATTACGATGATTCGAAAGTTACCTTTCTTTTTTAATTTTAAAAAGGTAATTATATTCACTTAACAAATTTTATTGAGAGTCAATATTAGTATTTATATACACCATTTTTATATATCTACCTCACTCTATATCTATTCTATTAAAATTTTAAAATTTTAAAAAATATATTATTTTCATCCACATCACATTTCAATATTACCCTTGTTAAATTCATTTGTTTAATATATCCACACCATTCTTATATATCTATTCCATCGTAATTCCTTCAATCCTATCTATCTACACCATTTTTATATATCCGTACATCCATACCATTTATGCGTTTATCCTGTCATAATTTCTTTGATGTATTTCTATTATTGCCATCATATTTCAAATTTCTTTATTTGTTTCGATAATCCCAACATATTAACCACCATTGTTTTGAATTTTAAAAAAAATAATCCCAATAGAAAACCTAAAATCCTTATTTTGATAATCCTAGTAAAAAAAGATAGCCATCAATATTTTCAATTCAAGAAAAATGATAATTCCAACAGAAGAAAATCATTACTTTTTCAAATTCTTCTTTGTGTATTGCTATGTCTTATGTATTTGCTTTAAGGTATCTCTTCCATTGTTGTTTTGACTTTAGTTAAAGATGATATTTTATGAATATTAGGGTTTTATAAAAATGTTCAAAAGAATTCAATGAAAATAAATATTAGTAATTGAAGTTAGAGTGATATATTTTTATTTAATTTTACATGTTTATTTAAGTGAATTTACATAAGCTTTAAAAATATAATATAATTTTCTTTTAAAAGTGGATGTATATAAAATAATGGTGGATGTAAATAACGGCTTCATTCTTATTTCTTGCACCATTTTTTAATTACACTTAAAGTTCTCAATTTTTACTCATCATCGCATTTATGTCCTAATAATTTTTCATGGCATTCTTATCCTTAAAAACTTTTCATTATCAGACACACTTTGTATTTGATAACAATTTATGTACAAAACGTCCGATTGAAATAGCATATATCAACTTATTTTCCAGCATATTTTAAAAAGATAAATAAATAAAAAACATAAAAATATTTATCCCCCCATCTCAATGCATGAAAATAAAATATTTTGTCATAAATCATCATCAACAATGAGATTACTAATCAATTGAAAGTTGAAGAAAAAAATTTGACGAAAAAATTAAGAAAATAATTATTACAATAAGCGAAGATCGAGAAATTCAACAGCAGTTAAAATAGAGTGTATAAATAAAAGTTATTATGCCCTTATAACTATATTATAAAACCTATAATTTGTTTTTGAAATGGGGGTAAAGTAGTAAATGTGTTGTTAAAAAAATTGAGCCAATATTTTTTTTTTTCATTTGCGTATAACCACGCCTCTTCACTTTTCTTCAACAAATTATGGATTTCTTCTTCCCGTCGAAGCAGCAGCTTAGCCTTCTACTTTTCAGCCGCCTGATTTTTCTTTCTTCTTGACCAAACCATCCACAGCAGCCCTCAGCCTTCTTCATTTCTTCTTGACCAAGAATCGCTATAAGGGACCTCCAACATGTGTTAACACAGTGTCGGAGACGTACTGGTATCCAATAGGTGTTGGACACTGACACACTGAAAATCAATACACCGACGTCAATAGCTTGTTGGTGCTTCACAGACAATCAACAAATAAACGAACAAAATTAAGCAATTTCTATACCATTGCGTTTTAGTGTTTGTAGTGTTTGGGTTGAGGATGCAAACAAATGGATTCGTTATAATATTTGGTTATTTTCCATATTAATTTTGTTCATCAAAATGTCAGTAATCTTAGAAAAATGGCAGAATGAGGTAAGAATATACAAATGGAACAAATTTTACTAATAAGTGCACATAGTTACCTGACTCCAAGCAATTAACGTATATAGAAGAAGAGGAATCTTGAGTAATTTTGATATTGTTGGTGAGTGATTGAAGCTACTAGATGACCTGGTCGAACCTAACACTAACTTCAAATCAGTTTTACAATGGCAACTTCTTGTTACCAGATCATGCTGGCAGCTTCAACCTCTCAAACCAACAATTATACTTAAGATTTGACACAGAAATGCAATAGGGTTTGGTCTTTTTCGATTGATTTATCTGAAGAAGGTAAGGCAGAGGCAGAGGCAGAGGCAGAGGCAGCTGGCGTTATGAATACTGCGATACGGACCATGCATGCCGCCTTGATTGGAAGTCTCTTGTGACTCTTCACTTTTAATCACTACTTTTTGGCCTTTTCCTTAAAGCTATCACACGAAGCATAGGAAAAAAGCTAGCATCCAACACGGGACATTCGGTGACAGTCCCACCTATTGGAAAAATAGGTTGAGGGTTGAGTGGCTGACTTTTGCAAAAAATTTGAGTGGGATTTGGTTGGTTATTTAAGTAGTTGTGAAATAATACTCCGTGCCCTCTTGGAGGTGCAAGGTCTTCCTGCAACTCTAATGAACAAATGTTACCTGAAAAATGAGGGTACGGCGATTTTCCCTGTTTTACCTCCAACGTGAGAATTAGTATTGAGAGAGGAAATACAAAGAATGTTTTCAGATAGTCAAAATTCTTTTGAGAGATAACTGTTTCGCTTTGAGTGTATTTATAGGTGTCTGACGCCACGTGAATTCTGGGCGGTTATGGTGTCACGTGTCCAAGTTACCTTTTCCACTACCCTACGTTCTGAGTGGGAGCCTCCAACTATTGGACAGTTGGTTACGTGCGTGACAATTGTTAAGCGATCTCCATTCAATTTATTGATGATTTTATAGCTAAGTGCTAGGTCGATTGCGTCGTGGTAGATGGTCCCATGGGGTCAACAATCCAACATGGACGTAGAGTGCTCATGGGAGTCAACGGCCGAACATGGATGTAGAGCACTCATGGGGTTCAACAGCCTAGCAAGGAGTATAGCGCCTGTTGAGTAGCCTTCACGTTGTTGATTTTCATAGAAAATTATTAGTACAATCCAATATCACTAACCCCTCTACCTCTTGTCGATATTTATTGATAATGGGTAACATCTTCATCCCTCTACGCATTTTATTTTTGTCTGCTCATCTTTCGTCGATAGTCGGTATAATATAAGTGGGTTGAGCAATCCAAGTAGAGTAAGGTACTGACAACACTACACAGATGACACCCCATAAGTGGGTTTGGGTTTTGGGGAGAAATTTTTCCCCTATAAATTCAAAGTCTTTACTTATATAGAGGAGTCAGTTTCCCATTCCCATTCATTCCTCTTGCTCCTTCAATAGTTAAGGTAACAATATTTTCTATCTCCCAACGGTGAAAGCATGTGCCCAATTTGCAAAATAGAAAAAGCATAAAAGGACTAATTACAATTAATATAATACCCAAAACGATGTCATCTCCACTTCAAGTATCAGTTAATACAGTTAGCTTCCTTCTTCTTTCTTATCCATCTGATCTTCTTCCTTCCCCATTGATTTCTCCATTGATTCTTCTCCTGATAGAGTAATGAAGAGAAGAAACTGAAGTGCAGGAAATAATTTCATACATAAACATGAATATATATTTTTTAACTTTTCAATCACACAATTTTTAAGAAATCACTATTCCAAAATAATACTATTATATGTACATATTTGTAGATAAAAAGTGCGATAACACGTATTTTAGTCTTTGATTTAATTAAATTAATGGTCAAACTTCATGTAACCTTATTTTCTATTAACAAAAGTGTAAACAATATGTGTTAGTGTTTGTTTGACGATTATTAATTTATTTTATAGTTTGTTGCATGATCATTTTCAACTATACTTTCAAATAATAAAATATTTTACACGTATATTAGAAATTTTTACTTGTTTTTTAATTATATACTTCCCTAAAAAATACTATCTTAGGCCCCTTTTGGTACCCTTTTTTTAAAAATACATTTGTCTCTATCTTTTTTTCAACTACACATTCTTCATTAAAATAATATTACATGTAAATAAAAAAAATTTCTTTATTTTTCAACTACATATTTTCCATCAATTTACTATTCCAAAATGCATTTTTACATAAAAAATGGCTCCCAAACGCCCTCTAAAACTTATTCAATTCCAAAATATTTGTCTTCGTTTGACCCTCATTAAATTTCATTACATTACATTTCATTTTTCTCCATTCTATTTTTAACAACACAAATTTTCACAAAATAATATTATACGGAAATAGAATTATTTTTTTTTTTTTTAACTTCTCATTTTTTAAAAAAATACTTTTTCAAAAAATGGGAGCCAAAGGGCATTATTACTAGGGCTCTAAGAAGATTTTCATTTTCAGTTTCCCGGCACATACGGGAAGGGAGGACGCGAGGATGCCGGTGTCAAGGGCACAGTCATCAGATTCGAGAATCATCGCTCACGTCGATATGGATTGCTTTTACGTCCAAGGTCCTTCTTTCCTTCTACTTACTGTTTTTTGTTTCTTTTCTACAAAGATTTGCTGCTCTCAAACTTCAATTTATCAGTTAATCTGATGGGAAATGGAAGTAAACTCAATGCGAACGAAGCCAGTTCTAGAAGCAATTTTTATAGGAAAAAAGGATTGAGGTTTTATTATTGTTTCCCAGACATCGGTTGCCAGTTTTCGAATTCCTATTTGAAAATAAAAAATAAAAAAATTCATGATTTCAAATTGGTAATTTAAATCCAGAAGCATGTAAAAGCATTAAGTTTATTTTAAACCAGAAAGGAACAAGTAGAAATGGATTTCCGTCTAAAATCACTAACCTCTCTTGTTTTTAGACCCATTAAGGCATTAACTGTTCCCTTCGGAATGGATTTGCAATTTGGTAAGTGATGAAGTCTGAATTTTTTGGACAAAAACATTGCACCTTCCATTTACATTTTGGATATTTGGTTTGCTCAGAACTTCTGGGTAGACCCATGAAAATTTATTCGCACCATGATACTTGGTAAAAGTAGTAATTCTGTTTGAAGACGTCCTTTTTAAGTAACCATTAATTAGTTAAAGTCTTTCATCCTTCTTGAATAAACTGATCAAACATTTTTTTTACCTCATTGCTGATGGGCTGTATTTGTATCTGTTGTTTTCCAAGGTAGCAACATAAATAAGGCTAGCATGCTGTCTGTTAATCTTCTTTTTTATTTTCATTTTCATTCTACTGTATCCAGAATTTTTCCAGGATAACTATTTGTTTCATTGCATCAGTCGAGCAGCGTAAGCAGCCAACTTTAAGAGGTCAACCAACTGCAGTGGTGCAGTATAACTCCTGGAAAGGTGGAGGCCTCATTGCTGTCAGTTATGAAGCTCGTATGTTTGGGGTGAAACGGTATTTATGTGATATTGATAATTTTTTATGTAAAATTTGGGGCAATCTTTCACCATTGAGTGTTGAAATCTACTGTGTAATTTCTAGTTCCATGCGAGGTTCTGAAGCAAAGGAAGTCTGTCCGGAAATTCAGCTCGTCCAAGTTCCAGTCGCTCGTGGAAAAGCTGATTTGAGCGTGTACCGGAATGCCGGTTCAGAGGTTAAAAGACTTCGGAAACCTTCTTTATAATTCAATTGTATTATATCTTCTAATTATTGGCGGAAGATTTGCAGGTTGTATCTATCCTTTCAAGGAAGGGACGATGTGAGCGAGCTTCTATTGATGAAGTGTATCTTGACCTTACTGAATCTGCAGAGACAATGTTGGCTGAACTTCCACCTCACAGATTGGAATCAATTAATGAAGAAGCTCTTAAGTCACATGTCTTGGGGCTTGATGTGGTAGGATATTTCACTTTAGTGTCCGTTATTTTAAGATGTAAATTATGCTACAATGAGGCAACAACCCGAGAGTGACAAGATGACCTATATTTTACTCATACGAACCCCGCACCCCCCCTGGCGTCTGCCCCACCCCAAAAAATAGAAATGTAATATCTTCCTCAGCCCCATCTATGGTTCTGCCATTTTTTGGCTATGGTCAAGATTTAAAGGCCAGTAGTTTCATAGGGCATATTGTTAGCTAAAGTGCAAAACCTATGTAATTGTGATCCCTTCCGTTGGCAAAACTTTGCAAATATCATTACATCATTCTATTGCTTTTGAGATAAATGAGCATTTATTCTTGCCATATTATGAAGAAATTCCAGAAACGTAGTTGATACCATATTATGGGAAAAAATGTTTGTTTTTCTGAAAGGTAGGATTATGTGTGGAGTTTCTGTTCCACCCCCGTCTGCCTTGTTTTATATTCATTACTTGTATCTGTTAAAGCTGCTATACTAAACTATCGTGTAAAGCAGGATGGAGACAATGCTAGAGAGAGTGTGAGGAAATGGTTCCTCAAGAGTGATGCTGACCACCGTGATAAATTATTAGCCTGTGGAGCACTTATTGTTTCTGAACTTAGATTGCAAGTATTGGAAGAGACTGAATTCACATGTTCTGCAGGGATAGCTCATAATAAGGTAAGAAAGCAGTGATCTTTTGATTATTTTTCTTTTCCTTTTTTCTTGGTCTTGTGATTTTTTTTTTAATTTTATTATTATTATTATTATTTTGAATCATACCACCATAGTAGGTCATTTAGTAAAACAAAAAGAAAAAGTGCAAGCAAAGGGAGAGAATTGGGGGGGGGGGGGGGGGGGGGGGGGAAAAAACATTTTAAAAAAAAAAAAAAAAAAAAAAAATCTCA